TACAAAGCCTGTCCATTTACTCAGCGTAAAAATGAGAATGCCCTTCTAGTGTGGTGTCCTCCTGGGGCTGGGACTGACCTCAGGAACTTGATAAGCCTCTGGCACCAGAGGCCATGACACAGAGACCTCCAGCTGTGGCCAGCTTTCCCACAGACACCCCCTGGGACCCCTGCAGCACCCTCAGGCTGCGGCCAGGCAGGGACTGTCTAGGTATAGTGACTTGTTTATGTCCAGTCTGTCCATTGTGCTTACAATGGTCCATTCACTCGCCAGTCTTTTACCTAAAACTACTATCCAGCCAGTTTTCTGAAAAATAAATGAAATGTTGGTCTTGATGTCTGGGTAAAGTATAAAAATTCCATTTCATCCCTTTCCCACCTGAATCCAGTCCCTTCCTTTCTGTCTGTCACCCATCCGTCCCTGTGGGGACATTTGCGAGGACACGTATATACCTGGCGCAGTGCTGGGCACAGGGCAAGACTTATAGGTCCAACAGTAACCCACACAGCTTTGCTCCCAGCCCTGGCAGGGTCACATCACTGTCTCTATTCACACGGGACTGTAAACCTGCTACCTGTGCAGTGGAGGTGGGAGTGAGACTTTATTTGAGCAGGTGCCTTTCTGCCAGACACCTGTCTGAGCCAGTACAAAAACCTCTCTATCTTTCCAAAATACTACCTGGGATGTGAACTACCCTCACTTCTTTTACAGTAACTCCTGGAGAAAATCACTAACTCCATCTCTCTGCTCTCAGTATTTGGCCCCAGCTCCCACTTGAGCCGTAGTCACAGGAGACCCCACCCGTCCACGGACTGCCCCCTTCTCTTGCAGGACTGGATCTGAAGTCATTTGCAAGGTGCTCATTCTGCCTCATCTCATTCCTGTGGCCCCTTGACATTACAGAGGAGTATATGCTGAAACCCTTACACTCCCAATCTTTTTTTTAAATATTTTTATTGATTTCAGAGAGGAAAGGAGAGGAGAGAGAGATAGAAACATCAGTGATGAGAGAGAATCATGGATCAGTTGCTTCCTGCACACCCCACACCAGGGATCGAAACCAGGGCATATGCCCCAACCGGGAATTAAACCTTGACTTCCTGGTTCATAGGTCGAAGCTCAACCACTGAGCCACACCGGTCGGGCCCCAATCTATTAATACCATGATGTGTCCATAGATCCCTAGTTTTCTCTCACATCCTATTTCCATAGACCCGAGTTCTCTAGTACTGTCCTCACTCAATGAATTGACCAACATCTCAACCTTGAGTCACGGTTTTCTCCCACTTGATAGCCATTTCCCTAGGAAACAAAGTCAGCTTCCTTCCTGAGAGGCAGCGCCGTGTCCACAATGGAGAGGGAGGACAGTGGGCTGGCTGGGTGGCGGAGGCTGAGCAGCTGGCAGGTACAACTGTGAACACGCGAAACCATGCCTGTCTCTGCCAAGAATGATTCGAGTTTACTCTGTGGGATACCCCATTTTTAATAAATACATTGTTGGGGTACTTTTGTTACTTAGTCTGCTCTATTTTGCTAGTTAGCAAACCCCAGGGCCCCTAAAGGACTTGGTCTTTTTGATGTGTAAAAAACAGGGTCTTTTCCTGGACTGTATACAACTTTATTCTGAAACAATCATTTAATCTATTTAACTCTACCCCTACTAACACCTGCTCTTGATACAATTCCTTTTTATATAAGTGAATAATATTGGGATTGACTTTTTAGCTTTTCCTATTTAGTTAAATACTAGAGGCCTGGGGCATGAAAATTCATGCATTCAGGGGGGTCCCTCAGCCCGGCCTGTGCCCTCTCATAGTCTGGGACCCCTCAGCGGATGTCCACCTGCTGGCTTAGGCCAGTTTCCTGGGGGATTGGGCCTAAGCTGGCAGTCAGACATTGCTCTGGCAGCCCAGGAGCCCTCGGGGGATGTCCAACTGACAGCTTAGGGCCGTCCCCCATGGGGAGCGGGCCTAAGCCACAGTCCAACATCCTTAGCGCTGCCGAGGAGGCAGGAGAGGCTCCCGCCACCTATGCTGCACTCACAGCCATCAGCCCGGCTTGTGGCTGAGAGGAGCTCCCCCTGTGAGAGCACACTGACCACCAGGGGTAGCTCCTGCATTGAGCATCTGCCCCTGGTGGTCAGTGCATGTCATAGCAACCAGTTGTTCCAGTCATTCCACCGTTTGGGGTCAATTTGCATATTACCCTTTTATTATATAGGATGGGTGACTCATACCAAAAAAATGTGCCCCCTCCCAATGTGTTCTATCTATTAGGGTCTCCCGTGAGGGGCGTGGAGGGGAGGCAAACGTCCACTGGCACCTGCCTGCACCAGGTATTGTGCTTTGCATAGATTACCATAGAGCCACGCTGCCACCGCAAAGGACTCAGGATTGTTAGGAAGCATAACATTACTGAGACCGACACCTGAGAGCCAGGAAAAAGTTCCTGGGGGCAGGGACATAAGGCAAAAAAGACAATTCTTAGAGAAACCCTGGGCCAGGAAACCAAATAATTAGAAATACATCAGAGAAGCTGCAGGAAGCCCAGAGAGAAACAACGAGCCAAGTGGTTGCAGGTCAGTGGAGAGGAATCCAGCGCAGCCAGCAGCCACGGAAGGTACCGTCCTGGCAGAACGCGCCCAAGAGAAGAAGTGCATGGAGGAGCTTCGGGAGAACCAGCGCAAGGGGCGCCTGCTGGAGGCCTGGCCTGGTCTGCACCCGGAGGTGAGACCCTCTGGGTATACAGACCAGACCCAAGAGGCCTTGCTTCCCCAGGACTCAGGGAAGCTCTGGGATGGACGGGCCATGGCTAAGATGTGAAGCTGAGATGAACAGTTCATTAAAACCACATCCAGGTGGTAGTTTGTATCGAGTGGGCACATAAGACCAGGCACTTGTACCTTCCAACCACTACACGTTCTCTGAGGACGGTCAGTAAAATTGTTTGTGGCCCACTTATCACCTGATTATAGTACCTGCTATTGCAGCCTCGTCAGTCCCAAGGAGTCAGTCCCGGGAGAGAAGAGGGAAGAAGAAAAGCCAAGGTTCAAGGTTTACGGGGAAACTCCTGCGTGGCCCTCACGGTGGCGGGCACACCAGGGCGCTGCTCTCTTGGAGTGGCCCTGGTTGGTTACTTGTTGCACCAGCCCATCTGCTACTGAGAACCAAGAACAGTACCTTTTCTTTCGTTCTGGGCTTTACAACTATTCCAGGAAGTGGTCTCTCATCCTCTCCAAAAACGACTCTCCACCTCTCATCCTGGCGTGTGCATAGTGGCATTCCCACATGTTATTGCCAGGCATGGTTTAGCATGTGCCTCCCGCCGGCCAAGTACTTGCCTACCTGTCTCGCCGTTTGGGACAGGTGGCATTCCCACACGCTTCCTCCCCGTGAATATTTTTACTATCAGCGGTGGAATTTCCACCCACAGAGGCCCTCCCATGCTGTTCACCGAGATGTTTTTACTCTCTTGCTGTCTGGCCTCCCTTGGATACAGGCTGCCTGCCCTCCCACACACCCATTCTTGGCTTTTCCACAAAGCAGGGGAGGGAGGGAGGGAAGAGAGGAGCCCCAGCCCCGAGGATAATTTGCCTCATTCCATCCAGACCAGAGTCTCTGATGGTTGAAAGGACCCCTGGGAGGGAGTGCACTAGAAAGAAATGGGCCTTAGCAGCAGGCAGAGCTGGCTGGCCACTGGCAAGCCGCAGCCAGCAGCAGGCAGCTCCCCCTGGTCAGAGGGTCTGCCGCTCCCCAAGGCCCTTAATTCCTCTAATGCAGCCAAGCTTTTCATCCACAATTAGAGAAAAGGCCCCTGGGAGACGAAACTCAAGATGAAAGCAGGCACGTAGGCATAAATGAGGGCCGCAGATTCCCTCCCTGAGCGCAAACCCCCTTGTGGGGGCCCTGGAAGGCGGGTGCCAGTGCTCTCATTAGGGCCACTGCTGCCCCCTCAAAACCTGCCCCCAAGGTAAGGTCACGACCGCTGCACGCAAACATCCCCTTCACATCAGCGGCTACATGCCTTAAAAAGAAGCCTTTGCTAGTGTGTAAACCAAGCCGAAATGTAGCTCTAAAAGTTCTTAGAGTTTCCTGCCCTGGCGTTGGCCCAGCGGTGCCCCCTTACCGCCCATGATCAGCCAGGCCTCACCAAGAGGAAAGGGTCATTTCTCCTAAAATGTGAGCAGTGACACCCAGGAGCTAACTGAGGAAGGAGGGCTCCCAGCCTACTACCTTCCTCGACAAATAACGGGAATCACAGGGTCCACATTCCTCCAGGAACCTAAGGGGAGGTAGGAGTTTTGGGGGTTTCCAGAAAAGTGTCGGGAAATCTCATTCTCCTGGGTTCCAGAGATGCCAAACCAGTGTCCTTGAGCATCACATGACCTCCAGCCTGAGAAGGGGCGGCTGTGGAACGTGAGGAATTCGCTAATCTTCTCTGGGTAGGAAATTCAGCTCCAGAAACAGAGATGGTACAGCCAAATCTACCCGGCCCACCCGTGTGTGTGGAGAGCCCAAGGGGTCAGGGTTCTCAGAGGACAGCAGGCCTCCTGCCCTGCCTCCCACAGGCTCTCTCCCTGGCTCTCGGCTCCCTCCATCTCCCTTAGCCTTGCCGCCCTCCTTCTGTCTGTCAGCCTCCTCCTTCTTACCTGCTTCCCATGAGCAGCACTTTCTGTTCAGGGTGGTAGGTGAGGCTATGGGCAAAAATGAAGGGCTGGTGGAGCTCAGGATTTGAGGTAAACAGAACCTGCTTTTGTCCTGATTTTTGCCCCCACTCTTTAGTCACCTGGGTGCACGTGACTTTACAGGTATTGTTGTCTGTTCCTAGGGATCCATAAGAAGAGCCTGGACCTTTTCCATGGTTTTGTCCCCATCTTCTGTCCTGGGCCCAAGACTATGTGGACTCCCAGGCAGAACTGCAAGGGGCAGGCTGCCATTTGTAGATGGGAACAAACAGACGACATGGCACACGGAGCCCCCGTCAGTGCAGGACTCACCCACCTTTTCCGCTATCAGGAAGTCATAGCGGAGGGCCTCACGGGTGCAGATGGCACCAAGCAGGAAGACAAAGACGATGTACAGAAACCACCTGCAAAATACCCAGGCATGGAACAGAGCTGCCACCCCACCCCCAGCCTGGCCAACCCCCTCACAACCCACCCCACTCGGGCTTGGGCCTTCAGGTTCCCATGGGGACCTGACTCAAAGGAAAGAGAAAGGCTGGTCATAAGCTTCCCTAGTTCCCCTTGGGGGCACCTTCCGTACTCTTTCTCCTTAGTACATTTCTTAGCAAAAAGGAAGTGTCATTGCTTTGTCTCTTTTTTACAGTAAAGAAAAACACACAGCCCTGACCAGTTTGGCTCAGTGGCTAGAGCATCGGCCTGTGGACTGAAGAGTCCAGGTTCGATTCCAGTCAAGGGCATGTACCTTGGTTGCGGGCACATCCCCAGTAGGGGGTGTGCAGGAGGCAGCTGATCGATGTTTCTCTCTCATCGATGTTTCTAACTCTCTATCCCTCTCCCTTCCTCTCTGTAAAAAATCAATAAAATATATTTTAAAAAAAGAAAGAAAAACACACAAAGGGTGTTGGAGGGGGAGGGAAAGGAGGCCCAGTTGGCCTCTAGGTTGCCAGGACTCAGGCTAGAATTGGCAAGCAGCCCCCTCCCCCTCATTCCGCAAGAAGGACAAGTTGATGGTCGGTCAGGCCTCTAAGTCCTGCTGCTCCTTGGCTCCCAGATGATAGACAGCCAAGCCAAGTGTAAAAAGGCCTGCAGTGACCTGGCTACGCCCCCAGATGCCCTGTGACTTTGAGCAAGTCCCATGATCCTGGTGGCCTCATACCCATCTGGGCAGTGAGAGGATGGGCCAAAGCTTCCTCCTGGGATCTCCCAGCTATGTCGAAAATGAGACAGGGTTCTTTCTTTCCTTTCCTTCCCAACTCCCAGCACACTCTCTCACACTCTCTTGTCTTCATTTTCTTCCCAATACAACTGCTTGCCCTATTTAGCATAAAATAGACTGGCATTGTGTGCCTGGCTAAAAGCAACAGTGTCCGGACAGTAAGCTAAGAGCAAACTCAGCATGTGTAGAAAACATATGTTAATATTTATAAATATCACCGTTAAAATAATGCAGGCACTTTCAACTTTTCAGGTCACTGCACTGTCTGTGATCTCATTGCCTTTCACACCCACCCCATGAAGGCTTTTTCTCATGGTACAACAAGAAAATCAAAAGATTCTAGAAGGTCAGAAACAGGTCCAAGGCCACCTGACCTGCTCGTGTGGGTGGCACAGTGTGACCTAAACCCAGGGCAGCCTTAGGGTGGTGCAGGGAGGCTAGCTGGGGGAAGAAGGACCAGTCTTTAAGTTCCTTCTATGTGTCTTTATACACAGTATCTCTTCCACAATACATAGGGCCCACACCTTTTCATTGTTCCCATTTTACAGAAAAGAAAAAGGAGGCCCAGAGAACTAAACAAATGCCCCAAAGTCACGCTGCAGTCAATCTGCGGCATAGCTGAAATGCAAACCCTAATCTGATTGCAAAATCCTTCATCCTTATGCTCCTTCCAATGATTCTGGAAACTCAATGGTTAAAAAAAAAATCCCCAAGTTCAAAATGGGGGTGGAGGAGGGATGAGGCTGGGAGGCTGAGGAGAAAGGGAAGAAAGGAATGGATCTGTGTTAGTGACACTTCCCCCCTCCCAAGTTCCCAGGCAGGGCACATGATAGGGCAATCATCTGAACCCACCAGACTTGAATTTTCCAGCCCACTGAGTGTTAAAAAGAGGATTGGAATATGAAATAGATTGGTCAAAGTTGGGGCGCTCTCAGAAAAAGGGGACAATCCCCTCTTTCACCAGGAGTCTTCTCTTCCTCTCCCCAGCTGAATGCCACTGAGGGGAACTTACGAGATGCCAACAGCTGCGAGGGAGCCCAGGGGGATGCTGGCAGCGGGCTCCCTGAGATCACCCCCCATGTTGAAGCCGGCCATGACTCCTGAAAGACATCCAGATGAGAAAGGGGTGAGCAGGGTACTGCACCAAGCACCTTCTCCTCCGCGGTCCCTCCTGGAAGCTAGCCCTTGGCCAGCCCTCCCATCTGCAAACCTCACTTCTCAATCTCCCCTGGCAACTGGGGAGGCATCCGTGGCATGAAAGGGACCTTTGTGGGCTGAACAATGCTGAGGAAGGCCCTACCAGCTACAAAAAGCATCTTATAGCCCAGCACAAAGTAATGAGGGTCAGGGAGGCATCTGGCAGGCTGCACAATGGTCCCAAGGCCCTATACTGAGCTCTGCCTTCCATGGGTCAACCCCCTGAGAAGGGTTGACCTCAGCAAACCTCCTCCTGCAGCTCCTTCAGCAGAGTTCCTTGCATATGCTGCCCACCGTCTAACTGGGGTTCTGGTGTCCTGGGGGCAAGTCTCACCTAATAGAGCCAGAGACCACATTCAAACCTCCTAAGCTGAGAGTTAAGATGGCAGCCAGCAGGACAGCAGTGAGGAAGAGAGTGTGAGTGAGTGAGGGAGTGAAAGGGGAGCGTGTGGACATGTGTGGTGTGTGTGTGTGTGTGTGTGTGTGTGTGTGTCCTGCAGGAGTCTCTGGGGCTGGCAGACCGGGCTCTACTAGATGGGGAGCCCCTGCTATCACTGCAAGCACTCCCAGGGGGGCTGGCTCTGGCACAGAGACCATGCCATCTTGAAGGGGAGAGCTGCTGTGACTAGGAGCCCAGCCTCACCACCACCAAGACTGGCCTCAGACACCATACCTGACCGTATAGCCACTCTGGCCAAAGACCTGCTACCTCATCTGCAGACCTACAGACTCCGGGACTCCAGCCTCCCCAGTTGCAGGCTCCTGTGAGTCCCAGAGTGTGCTCCCCTCCCACCAAGCCTGCCACTTCAGCCACAGGCCCCGCGTGACTTGGCGCCTGGACCCTTCAGTGAGAGCAAAAATGGGGAGACAAAGAAACAACCACCCAAAGGAAAGAAAAGGAGGAATCACCAAAAAAGGAACTAAATGAAATGGAGGCATGCAATATGTTAGAAAAAGAATTCAGAGTAAGGGTAATACAGTTCCTAACCTGGCTGGATGAGAAAATCAACAACTTATGTAAAAATCAAGAGGAAATCAAGAATGATATAGCTACAATAAAAAACACAATGGAAGGTTTCAACAGCAGACTAGAAGAAGAGGAGGACCAAATTAGTGAGTTAGAAAACAGGGCAGAAAAACACACCCAGTCTGAACAGCAATTGGAGAAAAAATTAGAAAGCAGGAGAAGAGCCTAAGGAAACTTTGGGACAACATGAAATGAAATAACATCCATATAATAGGGGTGCCAGAAGGACAAGAAGAGGAGCAAGGATTAGAAAACCTATTTGAAGAAATAATGAGAAACCCTCTGAGCTGAAAAGGGCTCTCAACGAATTCCCAAGAACAATCTGGATGCTACCAACACTGAGTCACATCATCACCACTATTCCCAAGAACACTTCTGAAAGGTGATAACCGGGGAGACAGTGCAGGACGTCACTCTCTGTCTGAACACACACACGTGCACACACACACACACAGGAAAGCTACAAGCCACGTGTCCGAACATCAAATGCGGTCCAGCCCACAAGAGCTCTGCCTGCCCCAGTCAGGAAAGCCTCCCAGAGAGTGCGTGCATCTCCGGTGTGGCCTTGAAGGGAGAGCCACATTGGCTTAGGGGGAGGAGGAATGGTCTAACCCCATCATTATGGGTTTATGAACACTTTCAACCTGACAGGGCCTATGCTATTCTCTACATGCATTTTTATCTTGTTTAATCCTCACAACAACCACATCTGAAGAGTAGAATTATTTCCCCTGTTTTATAGAACAGGAAACTAGTACTCACAGAGGTTAATTAAAATAGCCTAAGGTCACACATTTACTAAGTGGCAAAAGCCATGATTCGACCCTGGTCTGTCTGACTCCAGAAATTATGCTCTCCACACCTCTGCAGGAATACTTACAGAAGCTCAAGAGAAGCGGAGCAAAGGGAAAGCCTGGGGCCTGAGAGCTAACGAGGGGCTGTTTCAAAGAGGACCCTGAATTTTGGACCAACACTGGGACCTGCCACATATACTTTGACCCAGCTATTCCACTGCTAGGATTTTATCCTAAGTACATAGTCAAGGAGATGAGTAAAATCTGAGCCAAAAATGTCTATAAATGCTCTTTACAATAGTGAAAATTAGAAATAACCTAATGTCTAAAAATAGCGGATTGGCTAAATAAATGATGATACATCTTTCAATAAATACCAGGTCTCAAATATTGTCAGGAGTATGTTGTGACATGGAAAGATATTTAAAAGCTATTGTTTCATTTTAGAGGCACATTAGAAAACAGAGCATATGGTCTGATCCCATTGTAAGAAAAAACAAACATAAATAGATATATAGAAAAAGGAAGTAGAACGTGTTTTGAAATGTTGACAATGTTATTTCTGGGTGATGAATAAACATTTTTTATTTTATTACTTATCTATATTTTCTCAGTTTTCTACAGTAATCATTTTGAAATGAGGGAAAATAATTCTTAAAGGGCTTTTTGTTTAACGTGGTATGTTAGGCACATTTTCTTTCCTCTGGTTCCCCTCCCAAGAGCCCATTAAAAGGGTAGTAAAGAGGGGAAATGAATACAAGCCCCTAAGCAAAGAGGATTGGGAGGGGGGTGTCTTAAGCAGATGAAAGGTTTCCGCCAATGTCTGGAACACAGAAAGTGCAGATAATGATAAAGAGTGGAAGGAAAGGAACAGAGAGCTTTGGAATACTTCTCTAGAGGGTTTGAATAAACTGCCCAAGGAAAACCAAGGCTGCTGGTGCGGATGTCTGCACCCCGAATGGAGCCTCCTCAGAACCAGCCATTCTCACAGATGTGCTGCTGTCAGCTTTCCCAGGAAGAGGGAGCCCCACCGGGAAAACAGACCTACAGACACTGCAGCAGGGAATCCACGCCAGCGACCAAAGATGGCCAGCTGTGTGATGAAAACCAGGAACAAACACACAAACACATGCACGATAAAAATAGAACAACCTGGGCTGGAAGAACATAAAAACCCAGGACACAGAGGAGAATTTTGAAGGAAATACTAATCAGCAGCTTCAGACACACCCAAGAAGATTATTCTATCTATAAAGAAAGTTGCCATGAAAAACAAAAAATAATCCAAGAACAAGAAATAACTTTTGGAAATTAAAAACATGATCACTAAAATGAAAAATGCAATAAAGATCTAAGTGATAAGTAAATACCCCAGAACTTAGAATAGAAAGATAAAGGCGTAGAAAATTTGAACAAAGAATATAATAGAGGAGAAATCTTGGAATTGCAACATCCAACTAATAGGAGATCCTGAAAGAGCAAACAGAGAAAACAAATAAAATAACCAGATAAATAATAGAAATAATGTCTTCAAACTGAAGAAGACACGTCTTCAGGTTGACGTATCCTATAAAGTAGACAACACAAAGAACCAAAACAAAACAAAACCTCCATACCTACATGCATCAAGAGAAATCCTAAAAATTTTCAAAGATCAAAAACTGAACACTTGCAAAGGAGCAAAAATTAGACTGGGATCAGACTTCTCATCAGCAACACTGAACGGTAGAAAGCAATGGAACACTGATTTTTAAATTCTGAGGAAAAATTTTTTGAAACTAGAGTTTTAGCCTGATTACCAATTAAATGAAAGTGAAGTTAAGCAAACAAGGGCTCAGAAAGGTTACCTCCACATACCATTTTTGAGAAAGATGCTAATGCATGTACTCCAGCAAAATCTATAATAATAAAAGAGTAATATGCTAATTAGACCCGACGTCCTTCTGTCCTTCTGGACGAAGCCAGGGCTGTGAGGAAAGCCCGGGACCCAGGTGCCTGCCAGCGGCCAGAGAAAAGCCGGTGCCAGCAGTCGGGGGAAGGAAGGCCTACTTTTGCACGAATTTCATGCATGGAGCCTCTAGTGAGGATATAAAGCATAAAGTTGGAAAACATGAGATTCAGAAAACAGTGGTGATAACTCAGGAATAGAGCAAAGTCCCAGAATACCTGTTGTACAAAAAATAAGCCAGCAGGGATTGAAGCTGAAGGATGGAGATCCTAAGAGGGATGCCTCTGCATAAAAAGCAAAGTCAATACAATGGACAGTACAATTAACAAACTGAATGATTTTAAGGATGTTTGCTACATATTTTGACAATAAGAAGGAAAAAAAGGTTATTGAAACTCCAGGAAAAGTAACCAATAAAATAAAGGTCTAAATACAAAGCAAACTAAAACGTGACATTTTAAATAACCGATGAAATTTAAGAAAATTTAACCCATTTGGCTGTGATATTAGAAATATTCTCTCCTAAGTGGCACAAGGACCACGTCATAATCACACAGTAAAAGGAATGGAATTCTAGCACTACTCTGCTCTTCAATGAAAACAGCTACATAGTCGCAATAGTGTACATGTGCATTGTTTTTAACTTCTAAAATGTGACCTATAGCCTAGCCGGTGTGGCTCAGTGGTTGAGCGTCGACCTATGAACCAGGAGGTCATGGTTCGATTCTCAGTCAGGGCACATGCCCAGGTTGCTGGCTCAATCCCCGGTGTGGGGTGTGTAGGAAGCAGCCAATCAGTGATTCTCTCTCATCATTGATGTCTCTATCTCTCTCTCCCTCTCCCTTCCTCTCTGAAATCAATAAAAATATATTTTTTTAAAAGTGTCACTCATTTATTCAATTCTTTTTTTTTAAATTGACATGTAGACAAAGCACAGAGGATATAGCTATAGCTACAAAACAGAATACAAATATTACCTAGCTCGGTGAGGTAAAAGTAAAGCTATAGCTAACCAATATTAGGAAGTGAAAAGAAGGAAGATAAGCAGAGGGAAGAAAAAGAGCACTAATATTTTTGTTGTAGTTCTGTAAACACAAAATGTAAGTCCCATGATTTTCACTCAGGACTGGCTTG